TTACGAAGAAAGCCGACATGCGCTTATAACCGGCTGGTAAATCATCAGCCTTAGTGACAGAGCTACCGAAAGATTGATTTCCAGGTCAAAATGACAAAACCACTACAAAGGTGACAAGGCAGGGTTTAATGAAAATCCGTTAACGTACGCCAAGGCAAAGAACCGACCACCAAGCCGTCCGACAAGGAGGAACAAGCAACATGGAGCTTGGTAAAAGGGCTTTTATCTAACCTGCATTTTAGATCGGTTTGCTACGATGAAAAAAAACTACCAAGGATCTGATTAGTGCCAAAACAATCCCAAGAATCGGTCACCTGCAGCTCTTCTGTCAGGTCCAACAACTGCACTTTTGCTGGGTTGAAAGGTTGTGTGTAAGCCCTGATGGGTTTCACAGGGAATGTCTGTATAGACTCAGCCTTAACTAAAGGATCGACCACCCATATAGTGAAAATGGACTAGAAGTGCATTTACAACAAAAAACGAAATGAAGTGACGCAAAGTGGTTAAGTCAATTGCACCTCTCGGAAGACGGCCATGTTTCTGCTAATAGAAAAAAGAGTGTCTGTTATTGCCAAAACTGCTAACTCCATTTTACGCCCAAAAAGAACTTGATCAGGAGCGCGTGGTTCTCGCTAGTTAAGGCAAGCAGCCAGAATTGTTTCATTGATCTGCACCGCGCGCACCGAGTCGTAATCAAAAGTGCGTATTTTACTCGTAAACAAGACAATTATTTCGTAGAGTCAAAATAGAAACGCATGAAGTAAGTGCAACCTCCCGATTACTGCGTTTTTAGCCAACAGCTTAGCAAAGGAAGCTCAACAACTACTTCACGGAAAGAGCACACTTGCCAATACCGGGGTTTGCTATTTCGCTTCGGATTACGACTCAACTGCCAATGACAGTGGAGTTTTGGGTAGATTTTGAAGTTGGCCTATTCTTCTATAAAAAACGACCTACATTTCGTCCAACGACGTGTGCTTAGTTTAGTTGGCGTGAGTAATGGCAATCCCTTTGAAAGCTCTATTTTTTGCATGCAGGTACGTTACATACATCTGCACGCGCATTCTGAAAACTCGGTGTCACCAACTTGAAAGTTCAGGAGTACAGCTCGATTATTTTCAAAGAACGTCTTCTTTCTTCATTATATCAACTTGTAATGCACGGTATATTGGTGGGTTAGAGCGTCAGACTTCTAACCAACGGGTTGCGGGTTCGAGCCTCG